GTGTGGTGGATATAAATCAGAAGGATACCTTGGCTGGGAAGGTCCTCCCTGAAAACTGAGGGGTCCCCATCCCACACCAGATGCCCTGCTCAGGGTTCCAGTGCCAGGAAAAGAAGTCCCCATAACTTCTGGCTGGAGAAAACAGCGGGAACTGAGGCTCAGGGAGGCTGTGGCGGCTGGAGCCCCAGGCAGCTTCTCTTAAGGGGCCTGCGCACAAACTTACTTGGACTCTCTCCCTCTAAGCTCAGAAGGGAAGCAGTTTGAGGGGTGCCAGAGACATACAGGGAAGAACTGAGCTGTTTGGCACTGGAGCGAGGGCCGGAGAGGGGGCTTTCTCTGGGACAAACGTGCTGTCAGAGACCTTTGTTCTTTGGTGAGCCCTTCCCTGGGATGGCAGACAGCCACCATATCTGGGACTCCAGGAACCTGGCTCATACTGGTAACCCCGCCCTGGTGATTCCCTGAGGCCCCGCCCCACCCTACTTTCAGGCCCACTGAAGCTGTTGCCAGTTGCTTAACCATAGGATTGGCCTGTCTTGGATCCTGCTTCAGGTTTTCCTAAATTCTTTCAAACAAGCAGCATCTGGTCTCAGATAGCCCCATACCACTCGTGAAGTAATACACAGAAACAAACACAGGGAGGCAGCCAAAATGAGGAGACAAAGAAACAGGTCCCAAATGAAAGAACAGAACAAAACCCCAAGAAAAGACCTAAGCGAAATGGAGATAAGCAACCTAACAGATGCTGAGTTCAAAATACTGCTTATAAGGATGCTCAGTGAACTTAGTGAGGGCCTCAAGAGCATAAAAAATGACCAGTCAGAAATCATGGATGCACAGTCAGAAATGAAGGACGCATTAACTGAAATAAAGAATAATTTACACAGATTCAATAGTGGAGTACATAAATCCAAGAAGCAAACCATTGATTTGGAATATAAGAAAGCAAAAAACACCCAATCAGAACAACAAAAAGAAAAAGGAATCCAAAAAAATGAGGATAGTGTAAGGAGCCTCTGGGACAACTTGAAGCGTGCCAATATTCGTATCTTGGGGGTGCCAGAAGAAGAAGAGAGAGAACAAGAAATTGAAAACCTGTTTGAAACAATAATGGCAGAAAACTTCCCTAACTTGGTGAAGGAAACAGACATACAAGTCCAGGAAGCACAGAGAGTCCCAAACAAGATGAACCCCAAGAGGCCCACACCAAGACACATCATCATCAAAATGCAAAAGGTTCAAGACAAAGAGAGAATCTTAAAAGCAGCAAGAGAAAAGCAGTTAGTTACCTACAAGGGAGTTCCCATAAGACTGTCAGCTGATTTCTCAAAAAAACTTTGCAGGCCAGAGGAAGTGGCAAGAAATATTCAGAGTGATGAAAAGCAAGAACCTACAACCAAGATTACTCTATCCTGCAAAGCTTTCATTTAGAATCAATGGCCATATAAAGACTTTTCCAGACAAGAAAAAGTTAAAGGAGTTCATCACCACCAAACCGTTATTATATGAAATGTTGAAGGGTCTTTTTGAAGAAAAAAGATAAAATATATGAACAAACAAAATGGCAATGAATACATATCTATCGACAATGGAATCTACCAACAAAATGAACAGGCAGAATAGAAACATTTTCGTAGATACAGAGAACATTTTGTTGGTTGCCAGATGGGAAGGGGTTTGGGGAATAGGTGAAAAAGGTGAAGGGATTAAGAAGAACAAATTCACTGCTAGACTGACAAACCTCAAAGAGAAGGGGGTTGGGGGATGGAAAGAAATAAACCAAAGAACTTATATGCATAACCAATGGACTCAGACAACAGTGTGGGAAAAGGTGGAAGGGAGGGAGGCAGGAGTGGGGAGGAGGGGGTCAATGGTGGAAAAATGAGGAACATCTGTAATACATTCAACAATAAAGATTTTAAAATAATTTTTAAAAAAAGAAAAAGAAAACTCTCAAGAATACTTAAAAAACTGTTAGAACTAATAAAGGAATTCAGTAAAGCTTCAGGATTCAATATCAACATATAAAAATTAGTTGCATTTTTATACCCTAACAATAAACAATCTAGAAAAGAAATGAGGGAAGATTTATGTACTGAAAACTAAAACATATTGATGAAACAAGTTAAACAAGGCACAAACAAATGAAAATACATCCAATGTTCATGAACACATGGGACTATATTAAACTCAAAAGCTTCTGCACAGCAAAAGATAAAATCATCAAAATGGAAAGGCAAGCCACTGTATGGGAGAGCATCATTGCCAATGATATATCAGATAAGGGGTTAATTTCCAATATATATAGAATGCTCATACGACTCCACAAAAGGAAGACAAAGAACCCAATTAAAAAATGGGCAGAGGGCCCAGGCAGGTTTGGCTCAGCCATTAGAGCATCGGCCTGCGGTCCTGAGAGACCCGGGTTTGGTTCCCGCTAAGGGCATGTACCTCGGTTGCAGTTTGTCCCTGGCCCAGGTTGGGTTGTGCGGGTGGCAACCACTTGATGTGTCCCTTTCATGTTGATGTTTCTCTCTCTCTCTCTCTCCCTCCCACTCTATCTGAACAAAATATGGAAAAATGTCCTCGGAATGGGGTAATCCCAGAGACGTGGAAGTGGGGTACAGACTGACAATCCCTAGAAGAGGGGGTTGGTGGGGGAGAGATAAACCACAGAACTTATATGCATGTATGCATGAACAGTGGACATGGACAACAAACTGGGGAAAGGGCAGGGAGGGAGGGGGAGGAGGGAATCAGTGGGGGAAAAAGGAGAAACATCTGTAACAAAAATTAATCATAAATAAAAAATAAATAAAATCAATAAAGAAAAAAAAAATAAAAAAGGAAAAATGTCCTCGGGTGAGGATTAAAAAAAAAAAAAAAAAATTGGCAGAGGAACTAAATAGACACCTCTCCAAACAGGACATACAAATGGCTAAGAGACATGTGAAGAAATGCTCAACATCACTAATTATCAGAGAGATGCAAATTAAAACAACAATGAGGTATCACCTCACACCTGTCAGAATAGCTACCATCAACAAATCATCAAAGAAGTGTTGGCGAGGGTGTGGAGAAAAGGGGACTCTAGTACACTGCTGGTGGGAATGCAGACTGGTATAGCCATTATGGACAACACTATGGTGTTACCTCAAAAAATTAAAAATTGAACTGCCATTTTTTATGGCTTAGAAATTTTTTTTCTTTTTATTTTTCCGCTCAGTATAACTTAACTTCACACTATAATATTTGAGTTGGTGACTCTTAATGCACAAAAACAGTTTACTTGATCTACTAATCCCAAGAGTATCTCTTCATGAAATCATGGAGTCCTAAGGATAGAATGGACCTAAAAGAGATCATAGCCCATCCCCTTTCAAACCCACTATTCCAAGTCATTCCATGCCTCTCACTGGTGTGTTTCCTTGAGCTAGGGCAATTTATTCCACATAGTTTAAGGGGACTTGGAAAAGAACCTCATGGAAGTTCTGTGATAAAAGAACAAAAAAGGTTATATCTCTCCACGAAGGTCTAGAGAAACAGGAAAAGATGGTGGAGAAAAGAGGGAATATGTGGGAAAAGGAATTGGGAAATGAATAACAAGAAAAAGAAGAACTAGGGAAAAGACTGAAAATGGAAAAAAAAAATCTGGAAACATGCACAAATTGAGATAGCCCAGGATGTGAGTCAGAAGAGACTTGGTTAAAAAAAAATTTAAGATATGAAAGAAAAATCAGGAAAATGAGGATGGCTTTGCTATTTTTATCATTGTTGTCTCTTACAGTAGCTAAATAAGGCAAAAGTTAGAGTTGTTATAATGTGCTGTATGTGTAGAGATCAAAACTTTTGAGATAAAATATGGTGGTCCCAAGATATATGCAAATCAGATGAAAATATTCAAGATGCAAAATAAAGCATACTTTACATTTGTTTTTAAAGAAATCACATTGAGTAGCTAAGATCTCTTTCAACATGTTTAATTTTCCTTCTCTTCACCAGCTTCCTCACAGTGTACTTACCCACACATCCTGATATTAGTTGCACATAAATCAAACCTTCCATAAAAATCAGAACTAAAATATGTGTGAGCACAGGAGGTTCCTGATATTGGCAAGACTCCCATTCACATATACTACTAGGCCTGATACACTTACATTTTTCTTAATTGGATTTATTGGGGTGGCATTGGTTAATAAAATTATATAGGTTTCAGATGTACAATTCTATAATACATCATCTACTGATCCAGTAAAATTAAGAAGCCAGTTTATTCTTAGTTCAGTAACAGGGAAGCTGCTACCAGCCTTAATTTACCTATACTAATATACTTTCTATAGGGGGCAAGATGTTGTCAACAAATTACTACAGAATTGTCATGAGATATTGCTGCAAAATGTGTAAACTCTTTCTGACTACCAACTTGCTACTAGATTGTGACTAAAGTATCAGAAAATTTGGAAAATCTAGCTCAATGTATTTTGACCAACAGCAATGTAAGAGCTTAGGAAAGGATGTACCATTGTATGGGTATGACATCTGTAGCAGGGAAACATCTCTTAGGACAAGAAACTTGCATGCCACACAAGACACTTCACAACTCAGGAAGATCAAGTGTTGATCAACAATAAAGCAAATAAGAGCTCTCTGCAAACAAACAAAAACTCTTTGGAAAGGACAAGCTGCAGACCATATAGATTAATCTTAGCTTAAAATATGTCAAATACGAGTCACGGTAACTCCCTTTCTGCCAAAGTCTGACTCCCTGGGAGGGGCTCCCAGAGCAGTCTTCAAGTCTGTTGACTTGTTTTTTTTTTCAAGCTGTTAATGCAACTCGCAGCTACGTTGGTTTGTTTTGTTGTTGTGACATGGTCTCCATAGATGTGCTTTGAAATTGTGCCCAGCTGCACTAAAGCCAAGAACCATGCAATCTGGAGGTTGTGCAAGATTACAAGGCTCCAAGGTATCCAGTGCCTGCACTGCTCATCTCTTCCGCTTACCTCGAAGCTTAGCTTGTCCAGCCTGGGCAACAGAATGCTGCATTGGGACCAGATCCAAATACTTGAGGAAAGTGGCTACATTTGCAGAAAAGGAACAGAAATTTAACTTCACATCAGGGCTTTTTTTGCATGCATGTCTAGGAAATGGTCGATAATAACCAGGACCTGTTTTGTGCCAATTTATTTTTAGTTTTTTTTCTTCCTTTCTGTAGATAGCCTAACTGGCTCATCTTAATGTTTCTCAAGAGTATATTACTCTCAAGCTTTTTAGTCCCCTGTCCCTCTCAACAAATGGATTCTCAAGAAATAACTTGATCAGTTCATTCACACCAGACTTAACAAGTAAAAATACAGCATATCCACTTAAATTTGAATTTCAGATAAACAACGAATTACTCTTTAGTTTAACTATGTCCTGTGCAACATGTGGGACATACTAATACTAAAATTAGTAATTGTTTATTTGAAAATCAAATTTAACTGGTTGTCATGTGACAATCCCGTGCTAAAGACTTGTGATGTTTTGACCTCTTCTAAGGTATTTAACTTAGGATCAAAGTCCCCATAGCTTAAAGCAAATTAATAATTAGGATATTTTAGCAACAAACTAGAAAAAACAATATATTATATCAGGTAAGCCATCACTTATTACGCTTAGCCCTAAGGAGTCACCCTTTTTATAAAATACTCACCTGAGGGTATGTTTTTTATTGATTTTAGAAAGAGAGGAAGGGAGAGAAAGAAAGAAACATCAATGTGAGGGAGAAACATCAATTGGTTGCTTTCTCAAACACTCACTGACCTAGAATTGAACCTACGACATTTTTGGAAAGGGGGGTGGGGGTTGTGGGATGATGCTCCAGCCACCTGACCAGGTCATCACCCATTTTTTAAATTGCCAAAGGCCATCTAAAATAAAATCAATAATAATAATAATAAATTGCAAAAGACTGTAACTCAGAGATAGAAAGCATAGCTTGATTCTTACCCACTTGGACTTAAGGCTGCTGATCAATATTTACTTCAAATCAGGCAGTGTGATTGTTCATGTTAACTGGTGCTTCTAGATGAAGAAAATATGATTCAAAGATACAATTCTCTGAAAAGAGTATCTATTTCCACTGTGTCTTGAGTGGCTAGAGATACGGGTGGTGTTAATTGAGTATCCTTGGCCTCAGCTCACATCCCATCAACACAGGTTTTCCACATGTCACGTCTATTGAAGTACATAATCTTCAAGTTCTCAGAAAACCTATAGTTAGCATTAGGGAAAGCAAGGAACAGTGAAAATAATGGTTATCAATGAGAGTGGAGTAAAAGAAACTCAATATAAAAATGTAAACGAGGAGCAAAGAGGACATTTGGACCAACCCCAATTGCCTAGAATAGGTGGTTACCCAGCAGTGTGAGTTAAGAATCTCTGGGAAGAACCCTGTGGAAGATACTAAAGATAAGTCTCATTTAATATCTATTTCAACCTCATTCTGGAATGCCTTCCTGTATATTACAGAGGCTGGTAAACTAAAAAACTGCTTTTTCCACAATTCCTTCTAAATAAGGATCTGGGTATGATGTAGGCTCCATCATCACATTCACTTTCAGAATGTGAATTCAGACTGAGTGAAACAAGGAGGAAGGCTGGACATGAGGCATCATTCTCCTGCTGTTGATGGAGTGTTGACTACCCAGTAAGCAGAAGTGAGTTCCTGATCACTGCTTCTCCACTTGACAAGCAGTGTACAGATCAAGGCAAGCACAGCCATTCCTTTGATGGCTCAGTTATGTTGTGGCTTCAGGATTCATTTTTGGAGGCTCACCAGCCTAGAATCTGTTTCTTCAGCCTGCAAACCAGTTCTATAAACCAGTGAATACCCTACCATTAACACATTTCAGCTTAAGCCAGTAAGAGTGAAGCCCGTTCTCTGCAACTGAACACTAACTGATACAAGCAGTAGCTCCCAAAAAATATATCTCACCATCATAATGATTCTCAATTAGGGATAACTTTTCCCCCTCCCCAGAGGACACATGGCAGTGTGTGGAGACATTTTTGGTTGTCACAACTGGAATGGGGGATACTATTGGCATCTAGTGGACAGAGGCCAGATATGCTGTTAAATATTCTACAATGCACAGGACAGCCCTACTACCACCACAAAGACCTACCCAGTCCAAAATGTCAATAGTGCCAAGATTGAGAAACCCTTCTCTAGCCCAGAATCCAATGTGATAATTTATCATTAAAAATGCAATATTTTGATTTAAAAAGTATACTCTTTCACAATGCAAATATTCCTTTAAAAAATTACAAGTGAAGTTTTGCTCTCAGACAATATAGCATTAAGAACTACAACTCTTGGGACTTCCGGTCAAGATGGCAGCGTAGGTAAATGCAGTATCACGTCCTTCCACAACCACATCAAAGTTACAACTAAACCCAGAACAACCATAAGTCAAAACCGCCTGAAATCAAGCTGAATGCAAGTCCTACAACTATGGAATTAAAGAAGCTGCATCAAGACTGGTAGGAGGGGCAGAGGCACGATGGGCTGGTCCCACCCCCACGTGTGGCAGATAAAAATCAGGAGGATACCTCGGCTGGGAAGGTCCTCTCTGAGGACTGAGGGGTCCCTGTCCCACACCAGATGCCCCACTCAGGGTTCCAGTGCCAGGAAGAGAAGTCCCTATAACTTGTGGCTGGAAAAACCAGCAGGAACTGAGGCTCAGGGAGACCGAGGAGGCTGGAGCCCCAGGCAGCTCCTTAAAGGGGCCACGCACAGATTTATCGGACTCACTCCCTCTAAGCTTTGAGGGGAGGCAGCTCGAGGGGCGCCAGAGATTTACAGGGAAGAACTGAGCTGTTTGGCACTGGAGCGAGGGCTGGACAGGGGGATTTCTCTGGGACAAACGTGCTGTCAGAGGCCTCTGTTCCTTTGGAGAGCCTTCCCTGGGGTGGCAGACAGTCGCCGTATCTGAGACTCCAGCAACCTGGCTCACACTGGTAGCTTCGCCCTGGTGATTCCCTGAGACCCCACCCCACCTAACTTTCAGGCCCACCCAAGCTGTTGCCAGTTGCTTTACCATAGGATTGGCCTGGCTTGGATCCTGCTTCAGGTGTTCCTAAATTCTTTTAAACAAGCAGCATCTGGTCTCAGATAGCCCCATACCACTCGTGAAGTAATACATAGAAACAAACACAGGGAGGCAGCCAAAATGAGGAGACAAAGAAACAGGTCCCAAATGAAAGAACAGAACAAAACCCCAAGAAAAGACCTAAGCGAAATGGAGAAAAGCAACCTAACAGATGCTGAGTTCAAAATACTGCTTATAAGGATGCTCAGTGAACTTAGTGAGGGCCTCAAGAGCATAAAAAAGGACCAGTCAGAAATGATGGATGCACAGTTAGAAACGAAGGAGGCTTTAACTGAAATAAAGAATAATTTACACAGATTCAATAGTGGAGTACATAAATCCAAGAAGCAAACCAATGATTTGGAATATAAGAAAGCAAAAAACACCCAATCAGAACAGCAAAAAGAAAAAGGAATCCAAAAAAATGAGGATACAACTAAACCCAGAACAACCATAAGTCAAAACCGCCTGAAATCAAGCTGAATGCAAGTCCTACAACTATGGAATTAAAGAAGCTGCATCAAGACTGGTAGGAGGGGCAGAGGCACGATGGGCTGGTCCCACCCCCACGTGTGGCGGATAAAAATCAGGAGGATACCTCGGCTGGGAAGGTCCTCTCTGAGGACTGAGGGGTCCCTGTCCCACACCAGATGCCCCACTCAGGGTTCCAGTGCCTCTGGGACAACTTGAAGCGTGCCAATATTCGTATCTTGGGGGTGCCGGAAGGAGAAGAGAGAGAACAAGATATTGAAAGCCTATTTGAAACAATAATGGCAGAAAACTTCCCTAATTTGGTGAAGGAAACAGACATACAAATCCAGGAAGCACAGAGAGTCCCAAACAAGATGAACCCCAAGAGGCCCACACCAAGACACATCATCATCAAAATGCAAAAGGTTCAAGACAAAGAGAGAATCTTAAAAGCAGCAAGAGAAAGGCAGCTAGTTACCTACAAGGGAGTTCCCATAAGGCTGTCAGCTGATTTCTCAAAAGAAACTTTGCAGGCCAGAAGGGAGTGGCAAGAAATATTCAGAGTGATGAAAAGCAAGAACCTACAACCAAGATTACTCTATCCTGCAAAGCTGTCATTTAGAATCGATGGCCATATAAAGACTTTTCCAGACAAGAAAAAGTTAAAGGAGTTCATCACCACCAAACCGTTATTATATGAAATGATGAAGGGTCTTTTTGAAGAAAAAGATAAAATATATGAACAAACAAAATGGCAATAAATACATCTCTATCGACAATGGAGTCTACCAACAAAACAAACAGGCAGAATGGAAACATTCTCATAGATACAGAGAACATTTTGTTGGTTGCCAGATGGGAGGGGGGTTGGAGGAATGGGTGAAAAAGGTGAAAGGATTAAGGAGTACAAATTCATTGCTAGAATGACAAACCTGAAAGAGAAAGGGATTGGGGGGTGGAAAGAAATAAACCAAAGAACTTCTATGCATAACCAATGGACACAGACAATAGTATGGGAAAAGGTGGGAGAGGGGTGGGTCATGGGAGGAGGGGGTCAATGGGAGTAAAGTGAGGAACATCTGTAATACATACAACAATAAAGATCTTTTTTTAAAAAAAAGAACTATAACTCTTTATTCTAAGATCTGCATTATTTTCAAATTTTAATATTTCTGAAATTATGTCATGACCTAAACTTAAGGTATGCTTTTAATGTGGTGATGTTTTTCTTTTTATTTATTTTTTTAATCAAAAAGCTTTTATTAAGTCTATAGCCTATCTTAGAACTGGTAGCATCTGTAATCAAGGAACTAGGGTAATTTAAGCAAGTATTTTCCTGAGGGCAAACTGAACCAAACTGCATGGAGAAGAATGGCTGAATGCGGGCAGGGGACACCATAGTCTCAACTCTAACTGTACAACAGAATCACTGCAGTGCTTTACATTGGTTTGGTCACAACATCATCTGACAAAATAAAAAGTGTCTCTGTAGTCCAAGAAGACCACAGAAGGCCAATTTCAGCCATAAATAAAGAGTTAGAAATAAAAGGAACATGGGAGGTGGAAATAAATAAAAGCACTTCCTTTAAAAAAGAAAAAACAAGCTTTTTTCTCCCATGCTCTTTGTACCCAGAGTAGAAAAACAAAACAAAACACTAATTTAGGGCACCTTAATGAATTTGGACCCCTGAAAATGGAGAAAAGGGGACAAAAGATTTGAAAAGAGATATGCAAAAGAATGATGGCAGATAACCAGACAAACTTCAAAACCTCACTCTTCTGCCCAGGACCAGACCTGTTACTATTGCCAGACAATTTGCTAACACTCCAGCATTATAGCTCTTGAGTAACTTTCACAAGCTCTCTGGGGCCCAAAGAAAATCACAACCAGAGAATTTAACTAGTAATGGATCCTGCTTTCATCTACTCCAAAATTCAGCACATATTTAGAAGTAAGTTTATCTTACAAATACATTTCCTTTAACTTATAAACATCTCATTCCCAAAAAAATTCTAGCTGGTGCCTTGAATGAAGACATGCACAGTAAATATTAACTAAATTGAATTAAGTCCATTGCCTAAAAGTGCTACTGACTTAAAATGTATGGGGAAGAAAAATAAGCCCCTTTTAAAAGAAAGAGCAAAAATTCAAGAGAGAACAGTAATAGAAGACAAAGGAACTTGCCCATTCTAATTACCTCTTCTCTCCAGCAGTGGAAAGAAGTCTACACCAAGCCCAGTAAATGTTGTCTCACAAGGTTGCTACTACTACCAACCTAACATCCCTATTTCTTTGTTAAGTTTTTTCTTAAAGTCAAAATTGATGCAATAAGTTCTACACTGTATCCAACTGCCTCAAGATAGAGAGTACAGACTTCTAAATTCAGATCCTGGATAAAATCCTGAAACCATTCTCTGTTACACCCAAAAAGTGTGTTTAGGTGACAAGCATTGCAGAGGAGTTAATCTTAAGCAAAAAACGTCTGAAGCCTTAATCTCTTTTTAGAAACAACCACTCACACCTTGGTTGGTTTGGCTCAGCGGTTAGAGCATCGGCCTGTGGTCCAGAGAGACCCAGGTTCAGTTCCCGCTAAGGGCATGTACCTCAGTTGCAGTTTGTCCCCGGCCCTGGTTGGGTTGTGCAGGTGGCAGCCACTTGATGTGTCCCTTTCACATCAATGTTTCTCTCTCTCTCTCTCTCTTCCTCCCTCTTCCACTCTATCTGAACAACAACAACAAAAAAAAATGGAAAAAAATGTTCTCAGGTGAGGATAAAAAAAAATTAGAAACAATCACTCTCATTATTCCAGCAGAGTCATTTTTCCCTTATTTTAAATTTATTTATTCAGAGACTTCTAAATATATGCTGGTCTGTTGAAACAGCCTCTGGGCCCAAGCACAATAAAAACATTAATTAAAAAACATGATTAGAAACACCCAGCAGCAAGCCTGGAACAGCTTCAAATAAGCTCTGCCACTTAAGTGTTGGTCATAGAAAACAAAGCCACCTGCAGGTGACCTGTACTATGCCCCCTGGCTCCCCCATAGATTCCTGACCAGCTGATGCTAAGGTGGGAGCTCTTTGCAGATAGATGGCCACACTCAATTATTCCACTTCTCTTCTAACTCTTGATTTGGCACAGTCTCTACCTGCCTCTCTTTTCATTCTGCAATGGACTAACAAGAAATTCACAGAAACCCCAATTTTGGCAGAGATCTGGGCATGGGAACCTTACATAACTGTTGGGCTTTGGCAGAGCGGGACTAAAGGGCTGGGTGCCCTCTGCTGAAATATGCCCTGTACTTTGTGGGCAGTGTAATTCTCCCTGAGGTGGTCTGTCCTTGATTCTGGCTCTGAAGACTTCTGAATGCAGAAGCCACAACCAAATAAACATAGAATACACAATGTAAGAGTCAAAGGGAGCCCACGGAGGATTTCAGATAGTGTAGACACTACAAATTGGGGGTGGGGGAAGGGAACCCATCTTCAAAATAGATAATACACCTTCACTCCTTTGTGACATAAAATTCCCTAAATTCCAAATTTGTTTACACAGCTAATTAGGCATGAAAATTTTGAGTCTAGCACAGGCCTGTTAAGAAAATCTTGTTAAATGTAGACATGTTCTGTCAAGGGCATGTATCCAGTAAGGGATGCCATCTATGGGTCATATGACTCTATTCTAAGTTCTACCCTATTCTAAAATGTTCACAAGTAAAACAAAAGCAGAAGATCTTGGCTTCCTTCTTTTGTGTATGATTTTCCCCACAAATCTCCCATCTTAGAAAAACAAGAAAGGAGATTTGAAAGAAAACAATAGCAGATCAATGCTAGGTAGGAATAATATTTCAAAAGCAGTGTGAATGTATTATTTGCTGTGCCACTGAATTGTGTATAATTTATTCCTCTTCTTTTCTTTAATGACAAGTCTTCCCATATCTTATTACAAAGAGGCTATCACCTAAGAAGATTAAAATGCCTTTTATCATGCATCTAACCCAAATTGTATCTCTGAAACTCCTTTACAATCAGCCGTAGTGTCTTTTCACAATTCTGCGATTTAGCCAAACTGGCTGAATCTCATGTGTTGCCTGCTACTACATTCTGAAGTGCCAGGCTGGTACCTAAGAGGAAAAATAACATTTTCCTTCACTCTTAACCTACATTCTGACTTCTCATGCTGAATTCAATCCCCAGCTAATTAGTTCAAGAGCAAGCAACTTTAACCAAGATTCGGTATTACTTTCCTGTTTCTGAGAGCTGGGCTTTCCCCAAATGTAGCTCTCTTGTTACCCTTTGCATTTTAAATAAGCCATTTTGGAGCATGGCTCTTGTTTTTTCTTTAATATATGCACCCCCTGGGACTGTTCTAAAGCTTGTGATGGCTCTCTGCCGGCAGTCAGGGCAACAGAATGTCTACAAGATCAGGCTTTGTCCTACAGTCAGCATCCATTGTGCAGCCCCAGCTGAACAGGGAAATTGCAAGTCAATTTTCTCAGAAATGCTGGGTCCCTAGTATTCTAACATAGCGGCCTGAAGCTCCCACAGGTTCCTCCATTTTGTTTGTTTCAAACATGCTGGAATATTTCCGTAATTGATTCCTGGGACAAAGTATTCCACGGAAGTCCATTTTTCAGATAACTGAAGACTTTTTAATGCAAGAGTTTGATGGAAACTTTCTATAATGGTGATTAGTTCTTTTGGATCTCAAACAAGGTATGCTAAATGTATTTTACTTTTTCTCAGTGATTTAGGGTCCTCTTCAAACTATAAGTTATTACTTTAGAGTATAAAACAATAACAGATACATGAAATCATTTGCCCCTACATTAAATAGGCCACTATCCTTTCTTAGTTGCTTTCGCAAATTTTTATTTCTATTTCTGTCTCTTTCCAAACAATTAAATTATCAGTGGTCACTTTGCACTGATTTTCATGTCAGCCCCTAGACGCAAAGTTTAGGTTAATCCTTTCAGCTTTTAGATGGCTGGAAATCCAAATAAGTTTTTTGTGACAACATCTATATTAAACCTAAATCAGTTCTATATTGTATTTTGAAGCTTAGCCTTCTGTCCTAAATGCATAAGCATCAGTGCATGAATGTGTGGCCCTTTGAGCTTTTCATCAGCTCTTCATCTGTATCTCACAGAAGAGGGATTACCAGATACTTGTTCTTGGGCATTGTATGGTCAACGTCAGCCATCAGCAATCAATTTGTTCACTCTAGGAGTTCTCTTTCCTTCATGTTCTTGTCTTCTCTTCATCCCTCTGATTCCTGCTTTGAGCCATTTTAGTAATCATTAAGTCATTCACTATAAGGGAAGAAATCATAATAGAAAGAGCAAAACTTCTTTTCTTTTTCTTTTTCTTTTTCAAGTACAGTTGACATTCATTCATTTATTAGTTTCAGTGTAGTGGTTAGACATTCATATAACTTATGAAATGATCCCCCAACATGTATTTTAATCTATGCAAACTGAACTCTGATTTCACAGGGCAGAGGTTAAGGGATTGGTGAGAGAAGGATGAAAATACATTGAAATGAAAGATTTTACTTTTTCAATGTGCTTCTCATCAAAATGGAAACATGAACTTTGGCTATACTCACACAGGCACCTGCCACTCTTATATGTAGCAATCTCCCCAGTTACAAAATCTCAACCTCTTTGACAAAAATCCCAACAACTATTTGAAATGCCTGTCCAAGATGACCCAAGCAAAGCTGACTCAGAGTGTCAAAAGAGCCCCCCCCCAAAAAAAAAAAGATTAAAGCTCTTATTCAACACCACATTATATAATGTTGGCACTGGTCGGTTTGCTGAGGACCATCCTTGTTTTGACACCCAAACTTCCACATCCAGGGAACCTTCTCAGCCCTATGCAAATCAGGACATTTGGTCACCCTAATGAAAGATGATCTCTCAGTGGTTTCTCATGTTTTCCCCCAGGCAGACACCTTTACTTTCTAAGTAAAACTTTCTATTTTTAGATTTAGCATTTCTACAAATTCAAAGGCACCTTCTCCTTTTCTCCTTCTGCCCAGGTAGCCTAGATAATTCTTTCTTAGTAACATCTCTAGTATCAATCTCCTCTTTTTTTATTGCCACCAGCTTGTTCTTTATCCTCTGTTATGGACTACTGTAAAACTTCCATGAATATTCTCTGTTTCACTTCAATGTGCATGCTCTTCTCAGATTAATCTTTTCAAAACCCAATTTTGCAGAAGGTTCAGTTGAAGTCCCAGCTTTTCCATGAAGTCTGATATCTTCCCCAGAGGAGGAAAAACATGACTAGGATGGGAGAAAGGAATGGCAGGAGTTGTCAGCTGCACAACGCTGGTAAGAGTGCTGTAGGGCCCATGTCACCTCCCAGAAGCTGCTAAAGAACAAAATCAAGACAGCCTGCAAAGGGGAAAGACAGGCAAATCACTGAGGTCAGTAATCCAGAAAAGGTTGTCTGACTGTCAATCACCAAGCCAAGGAGGTCTAGCCAAAAACAGAAAATACAGTGTCCATGGGATATACAACAGCCAGGATGTACTGGACTCCACACACTAGAAGCAAGGTCATACCAAGCAAATCCCTAGAAGAGCAGACTTTGCCCTGCAGCTAGTTCAAGGTAGGGCTGGCTACGTGAGAAGGGAAAGGGAACTGCACTGGTAGGAACTGCCTGTGCCATTCTTTCTACAATTAGCAGGTTCTAACTTGGAAAAGCTGTGAATGTTTTAATGTATGCATCCCTTACATATAAACACAACATCTTATAACTCTCCGTATTCCCCACACCAAGCAAACTATGTAGACAATAAATATTTTATTTTAATAATAATAATAAAATGTGCTCCCCTGTTCTGAAGGCCATGTGCATAGGAAACCATGAAAAGGTTACAGCAACTCCACTTCTTTTCAGGAAGTCTGGAAGTCATCTGCCTGGTTTGGGTCTAAGATTCACTAATCAGCAAGTGCAAAGCAGACACAAATCCCCTTTCCTCTTTTTAAAACTTCAGAGCAAAGCATCAACTCTCCTACTTCCTTTTGTATCTTAGTTCAAACCCTAAGCACAAATAAACAAACAAATAAAATAACAAAACAAACCATCTTTCACCAAGACTACAAACCAAGCCCCAAACCCAAAATATCCTCATGTTTCCATGCTATAGTGTTTATTAGGACTCGAAGTTCAATCAAAAAGAATGAAAAATTGATCAAGTTCAGTTTCTCAATGTAAGACTTCTCAGCATACATACTGAATCACTTCTTGAACAAATGTCATGGTGTTTTCCTGCTGAGAATCCCTTTAAAATGGTCAAGTCTTAAAAAGACTTTGCTAAGAATATATTTTTCATTCAATAACATTTAGGGGAAAAAATCCAAGTTAAAATGAAGGCTTATTATGTTAGCTTTATAAATGCAATCACCTTCCTTTATTCACTGATTTATGAAGTCCCTTGAGTAAATGGGGGTGGGGGTGATAGTTAAGGTTTATAAATAATGTACTATATTGGAAATGCTCCAAGTGAGAGCCTTGTTTTAAGTGCCAAAGTAAACACCTGCAACTATAAAAGGGGGCTGCTATATTTTGTTTTTTATCAAACAAAAAAAAAAAATGTCAGTTGTAATTTTGGAGAGTCCCTGGGGGAAACTTAAAGGAGGGCTTCAACATGAATCTCGTCTAGGTACCTATATGAGATACCTAATGCTAGAAATATTGCTCACCTAAAGAAATGACTACCCTGAACTTTATAAATCATCTAAATCAGGATTTCTCAAACATATGGCTAAACAACATAATGTCTTATCTCTTCTATAAAGTATTTATGTTTATTTAGTTAATTGCAGAATTTATTAATTGATATTTCAGACCAGAGAATTATTTGTTATGGTGGGCTGTCCTGTGCATAGTAGGATAAAGCAGCAACCCTGGCCTCAACCTACTCCAGTAGCAGCCCTCCTTCTGCCCCCACCCCAAACTGTAACAACTAAAAATGCTCCAGACCTGGCCAAATGTTCCCTGAAAGGCAAAACCATCCCCAGTTGAGCACTACTGATTTAAACAAGAGATTTTTTTTTAAGTGAAGGATCTTAAAACAGCAGACCTGGAAAGGCAGAGCAATGGATCAGTGATACCAAGTGAGCACTGCACTCAACAAGATAATTAGCTCAGGCAAGTGACAGAAACAATGCACATGACTAAACACACCTGGAAAACAAAACCATAAGCTCTAACCTGCAAGAATAATGGTATAAAGAAGAAAACCAGAAAGGCCAGCATCGGCAAAAAAGTTTTTTTAATCCTCATCCAAGGATATTTTTACACTTATCTTCAGACAGAGTGGGAGGGAGAGAGAGAAAAAAAGAGAGAGAGAGAAACATTGATGTGAGAGAGACACCTGCATGACCCCAACCAGGGCCGGGAACGAACGGCAACCGAGGTACGTGCCCTTGGACAGAATCAAACCTGGGACTCCCTGGTCCGCAGGTCAACACTCTAACCACTGAGACAAACTGGCCAAGAATCAGCAAATATTTTAAAAACATTTTTCTTAAATTTCTATCTGAAAAAAAAAATCTATCTGGATGAAGGAAGCCAGTCAGTTTCACTCAGAAACAGTCTGCAAAGAATGAGAGCTTCCTTCCCCCCTTCAAAGATAACTGTACTTATCATGTATTTATCATTTAAAAAATAAGATTTTACAAACTTCCAAGGAGTCAGTACTAGTTTGGAAAGCTATTAATATTTTTATGTATTCATCCTTGAATGTAAAGACCAAGCTTAGAACTCTCTGTATCCCCCACACTTAGCAGTAGAGGTAACTCAAAAGCTATTTGATTTGAATAATAATAAAATGTGCCTTCATGTCCTAAAAGGTATTAAGAAGACATTTGGAAGTGTGGTGATATGAATGATTTTGGAAATAAGAAAAGCTATATGGAAAAACCCAGACAACGTTCAGCAGAAATATCCAAATAGGAAAAACAAAGGTTGGAGAGTTGGAAAGATCTGAGTTAAATCCCAGCCACACTGGTTCTGGATACGTGACTTTGGTTCTGTGTACTCTATTGTATTCTATAGAATGAATACAATAATCCTACCTCAAAGGACAGTTAATATAATAACATTAATATAGTACATACACTAAGAAAAATAAATCAGCTTTCTTAAACTCCTCACAGAGAAATGGAATTCTAAGTTAACTTTTCTCTTTAAAATAAGAAAAACACCTCAAATCATTGGAGACCAGACACAAAATGTCAACAAAACCTCACACCAACAATGATAACAAAAAAATCATCACGCAATGCAAAAAAGATGACAGACACTTGAGAATAAGTGGATACAATATTAATCAATTACTATTAATACAAAGTCAATTAATAAATTTGGTTATCTTTTATGAAAACTCTAAGGTATGAACAGAAAATTACAGCTAAACAACACATAATGTCTTATCTCTTCTATAAAGTATTTGTTTATTTAGTTAATTGTAGAAGTTATTAATCTGTGGGGTTTTTTTACAAAAATAAGATTGATTAAGCTGAAATCTTTGGTTAAAATGATCTTCTAACTTTGTTTTTAGTAGCCTTTAAACTGAACGTTCTGGGGTCATGAAATCATTCTAATTTGGTGTGGGTTATATAAGTATATGCATTGGTCACAACTAATTAATTGTTCATTTAAGATTTTGCATTCCACTATACTGAAAAGTGTTATATTATATATGTATATATCCATATAGATGTGTATACATATTTATGTGTACATTAGTTAATATATTCATATATATGTATTTGTACTTATGTTTTATATGTATGTGTATTTATAGAGAAAACTTTTATATTTTTCTGAAAAATATAGCTATAAAATTTGTGTGATCTAGATCCTTTTCTGTTTTACTTATCAATAATCACTTTATTTTTTTATTTTATTTTATTTTTATTATTTTTTAATTTTATTTTTGTTACAGATGTTTCTCCTTTTTACCCCCTTGGCACCCTCCTCCCCATCTCCCCCGCCTCATCCCTACCTTTGATGTCTATGTCCATTGGTTATGTATATTTGCACATAAGTTCTGTGGTTTATCTCTTCCCACCCCCACCACCCCCTCTTCTGAGCATTGTCAGTCTGTACCCTACTTCCATGTTTCTGGGACTACCGTATTCCTCAGACCGTTATGTTCATTATATTCCGTATATAAGTGAGATCATGTGGTATTTGTCTTTTTCTGCTTGGCTTTTTTCACTTAGGATGATACTTTCCA